AAAAGTCACTAGTTTGGTACTGGGATATTTCTTCAATGAAGGCTGTCCACGAATTTTTAGATACACTAAAGTATTACCAAAAGTCACTAGTTTGGTACTGGGATATTTCTTCAATGAAGGCTGTCCACGAATTTTTAGATACACTAAAGTATTACCAAAAGTCACTAGTTTGGTACTGGGATATTTCTTCAATGAAGGCTGTTCACGAATTATTAGATACAGTAAAGTATTACCAAAAGTCACTAGTTTGGTACTGGGATATTTCTTCACTCATGGATCTCCACGGAGTGTTAGATACATTAAAGTATTACCAAAAGTCGCTAGTTTGGTACTGGGATATTTCTTAAATTAAGGCTGTCCGCGAATTGTTAGATACACTAATGCAGTATCCAAAGTCACTAGTTTTGTACTGAGATATTTTTCAGTGATGGCTGTCCTACGAATTGGTAGATACACTAAAGTATTACCAAAAGTCGCTAGTTTGGTACTGGGATATTTCTCAAATTAAGGCTGTCCACGAAATTGCATTAGTGTATCTAACAATTCATTAAAGAAATATCCCAGTACCAAACTAGTGACTTTTGGTAATACTTTTGTGTATCTAACAATTCGTGGACAGCCTTCATTGAAGAAATATCCCAGTACCAAACTAGTGACTTTTGGTGGCTGTCCACGAATTGTTAGATACACTAAAGTATTACCAAAAGTCACTAGTTTGGTACTGGGATATTTCGAATAATGTAGTATAAAAATACATTTTATTTCTCTTATGGCAGGTGGAAAGCGGAGTAACAACAAGTGGCCGAGTGCGCTATGAATGCACGAGCAAAGGATACACTTCGATGTGGCAAAGAAAGCTTTACTTCACGTGGCTCACAGCTTATATTCTAATTATCCCAAGCACGTGCATCAGCTACTGTTACGTAAACGTTCTTCGCTGTGTGTGGTTGGCGGGCCGAGAACAGGATAACAACACTAGTGCCATCTATCTGCGACGTTCTGTAAGTGCCTCTTCTATGTTTCCAAGAGCCAAAATCAAGACCTTAAAGTTAACAATATGTATTATAGCCAGTTTTGTCATTTGTTGGACACCCTATTTTATTGTCCACAACATACGTATTTACAGCAATTACACCATCAACGTACCAAAACCTATCATAATTGGCGCAGAAACATTGGCGCTACTGAACAGTGCTTTGAATCCCATATTCTACGGATATTTCAATGTTCGTGTCCGGAAGGGGTTCATAGAAATTGTCTACAGGAAGAAAGATTTCTCAAGCTGTGTTGCTATTAACCAGTCAGGAAGTAACCCCGTAGACTCAGAAACAGCGTATAGCAACTCCTATGTCCAGAACCAAAATGGAACCCGAAATAAAACTATGGTTGTCACTTCAGATGCTCACGTGAATAGTCCAAACTCCCTGAGGAGGCACCGAGAAAGAAGCCATCGCCAACAGAAGAAGAACAGTTATGATAGTACAAGAGTCTGAGACTTCATTGAACAAATCCAAGATGACGAGCAGAGAAGAGGTTCAAGTATTCATAACTAAGAAGTTTCTGGTGTTTCGAGGTTACTCACCGAAACTCAAAAGATGAGGATTAAGATACGAAAGCCTTGAACTATTAAATTATTATCTTTAGTGACTATTATTCTATAAATGATTACCAACAGTCCGTGGGTGATCATTAACGAAAACAAATATCCCAGTACCAAACTAGTGACTTTTGGTAATACTTTAGTGTATCTACCAATTCGTAGGACAGCCATCACTGAAAAAATATCTCAGTACAAAACTCGTGACTTTGGATACTGCATTAGTGTATCTAACAATTCGAAGGACAGCAATCACTGAAGAAATATCCCAGTACCAAACTAGTGACTTTTGGTAATACTTTAGTGTATCTAACAATTCGTGGACAGCCTTCATTGAAGAAATATCCCAGTACCAAACTAGTGACTTTTGGTAATACTTTTGTGTATCTAAAAATTCGTGGACAGCTTTCATTGAATTAATATACACGCGCACAGATTAAGGTGTATAACATGGGAAACCTCTAAGTGTTATATGATACTATGTCCAGAATAATATATATTATCGGTACAAGTACCAACTTGAAACACAGCAACCAGGAAATTAAATGTTTGTTAGGGCCAGAAGAATATTTATTATCGGCACAAGTACCTACTTCAAACACAGCAACCAGGAAATTAAGTATTTTTTAGGGCCAAAATAATGTATATTATCGGTACAAGTACCAACTTGAAACACAGCAACCAGAAAATTAAGTGTTTGTTTGGACAAGAAGAATATTTATTATCGGTAAGGCACCTACTTGAAACATAGTAACCAGAAAATTAAGTGTTTGTTAGGGCCAGAATAATATTCATCAGATAGCTTCATCTAATTCAAATAGGTTGGTCCCCTGGATTATTTTATTTCTCCTGATCATGCATCACAGCTAATTACAATTAATAAGATTAATAGGAATTGTAAATAGATACATCTGACCTTTTCGGTTTTTCTCTCTCAGGGGACAGTTGTATTATCTGATTATCAACTCTTGCTTGATTATTAAATTAATCTGATTTTTTTTTTCTTTCAGTACTTTACATATTAAGTGAATTATCAGTTAATGTTTTTATTTTCTGGAGATCTGTGAATCTAATAAACTTTAATATTTCCTAAATTAATGTTATTAAACCTGTTTTAATATCCACAAGTCCTCATGATGTTAAGTTTCTTTCCATAACAAACACTTAATTTCCTGGTTGTTGTGTTTCAAGTAGGTACCTGCACCGATAATGCCAGATGGAGGAATACGATGTTTATTTCATCTAGGTAACCCTAACTGGGATATTGCCATTTTCCAAGAAGTTACCATACTTATAGTATTAACTGTCAAAACTACTCGAAGGCAAATTATCACACAATAGAAAGTTAGATTAAAAATTCAAATACAGTTGGAGAATATAGAAAGAGAAAAAAAATCTGTGGTTGTTTGACGACCAAGATAAAATTATCCTGAGAAGTTAAATATTGTAATTTTTCTTATCAATATAAATCTGTTTATCATAGTTTCAAATATCTTATAGAGTAATCTATAAAAGTATTTAACCTCTCAACACACATAATGAATAAACAACAAGCGAAATTAGTAACTTTTAATATTGAATTGATCATTTAAAACTATCGATCGGTTTAATATATATATATACTGTATTTCTAGCACTGTTCAAACCAAACTGGCAAAGACTCCAGCTATATACTGAAACTGTGAACAAAGATATAAACGCATCATATGGTAAGAACAACGTATTCATTTCTCTCCCTAGGTGTTTGGAGGATGGATACTGGGATCCGTGGCTTGCAAGGTAATTGTGTACGGTCAGATTGTTACGCTCGCGAGCTCTACGTTCATTTTGGCCTCCATGAGCTACGACCGTTACCAAGCGATCTGCCGACCACTTCGCTCACAAGGTGGCGTGACTCAAGCCAAAAGAATGATCATGGCATCGTGGGTCTTAGCTGGTATCCTGGCCATCCCTCAGCTCTTCATATTTGTTCAAGTAAGTTATCTTACTCTTAAGATCTTTACCATCTATCGTGGCTGTATTTTGTTGTTACTTATTTTTGGTACAATCGGTGTTTTCCTTAGTTTGGTTTTGAATTTCGCACAAAGCTACACGACGGTTATCTCGTATAGTTCCTTTTGATCATTTAAATTTCAACTGAAAGCACAAATATTTTAAAGTTCCTAGTAAAGTATTACCAATTAATGAGAAGTGGCCAGTTTCTAGAAGTGGTTTGGTTTGTTTGAAAGTTCGCGCAAAGCTACACGAGGGCTATCTGCGCTAGACGTCCCTAATTTAACAGTGAAAGACTAGAAGGAAGACAGCTAGTCATCACCACCCACCGCCAACTCTTGGGCTACTCTTTTACCAACGAATAGTAGGATTGACCATCACATTATAAGGCGGCTGAAAGGGCGAGCATGTTTGGTTGGAGGGGGATTCGAACCCGCGACCCTCAGATTGCGAGTCAAGCGCCCTAACCATCTAGCCATGCCGGGCCATTTTCTTTAGATCAATGGATCCTTGTCTGGTATAAGTTGTCTGTTTACATTAATCCATGCGTATATCTTAGTTACCTTTCGTGTTTATTGCTTTCGTCGAAATTGGATTTTTTCTTCAAAAATTCTTGTCTTCATCTCAGCTACTTCGTTATTTTTATCATGCGTGTGTGTGCTAGCATCCACCACCCAGATCTAGCTGGTTCATTTTTTGGTAAGGTAACTAGAAACTGCCTGATAGTGTACATGGGCTATTTGTTTGCGATTTTTGACCCAAGAAGGGGGGATAAAAACACCCTGAAATAGAGCACATTTCCACTTCTTTTACAAGTACTTAATCAGTTAAATGAGTCAAGTATTGCCTTTCACAAAGCAAGGTATACAATTAGAATGTATTGAGGTCACTAGGGATTTACTAACAAAATAAATAAGGAAGAGAAATATTATCTAACATTGTCCTTTATACAGATTTTGCTTCCTTAAAAAAAAAAATTGCAAATAATTAAAGACTGACATGGTCAATAAGGCTAAGCCTATCAAACTTTTGACGTTGGAAGAAATTAACTGCAAATGATTAAAAATAATCACAGAATTGAAAATTCTAGGTCTGTCATATCTTTGATGAGTTAAAGATATTCAAGATATTCAGTAACATGTTATACTCATGACAATATCCCAGTTAGGGTTACCTAGACGAAATAAACATCGTATTCCTCCATCTGGCAAAAAAAAAAAAATTGCAAATAATTAAAGACTGACATGGTCAATAAGGCTAAGCCTATCAAACTTTTGACGTTGGAAGAAATTAACTGCAAATGATTAAAAATAATCACAGAATTAAAAATTCTAGGTCTGTCATATCTTTGATGAGTTAAAGATATTCAAGATATTCAGTAACATGTTATACTCATGACAATATCCCAGTTAGGGTTACCTAGACGAAATAAACATCGTATTCCTCAATCTGGCAAGAAAGAAATTGCAAATA